GAGCCCAGGGGGAGTTTGGGCTACAAAGTAAGACCCAGATCCTATCTCTATTAAAGTATTTTAAAATAGGCCAGGTGTGGTGGCTCACGCTTGTAATCCCAGCACTTTGGGAGGCCAAGGCAGGTGGATCACGAGGTCAGGAGTTTGAGACCAGCTTGTCTGATATGGTGAAACCCCATTTCTACTAAAAAAAAAAAAATACAAAAATTAGTTGGGTGTGGTGGCACACACCTGTAGTTCCAGCTACTAGGGAGGCTGAGGCAGGAGAGAATCACTTGAACCCAGGAGGCAGAGGTTGCAGTGAGCCCACATCATGCCACTGCACTCCAGCCTGGGCAACAGAGATTCTGTCTCAAAAAAAAAATTAAAAATTAGCTGGGCACAGCGGTGTGTGTCTGTAGTCCCTGCTACTGAGGAAGCTGAGGCAGGAGGATGGCTTCAGCCTGGAAGTTGGAGGCTGCAGTGAGACAAGACGGCACTACTGCACTCCCACCTGGGAGACAGAGCAAGAGCCTAAGGAAGGAAGGAAGGAAGGAAGACACGAAGGGAGGGAGGGAGGAAGGAGAAGGGAAGAGTGCAGAGACAATAAAAGAAAGGGAAAGGAGGAAAGAAACAGTAACTTACCACCCTCTTCTGGCCCTTGAAACATTCTTACAACATATAATAATTTCCGGCTGGGCACAGTGGCTCATGCCTGTAATCTTAGCACTTGGGGAGGCCAAGGTGGGTGGATCACCTGAGGTCAGGAGTTCAAGACCAGCCTGGCCATCGTGTGAAACCCCATCTTAAAAAAAAAAAAGAAAGGCCGGGCGCGGTGGCTCAAGCCTGTAATCCCAGCACTTTGGGAGGCTGAGGCGGGTGGATCACGAGGTCAAGAGATCGAGACCATCCTCGTCAACATGGTGAAACCCCGTCTCTACTAAAAATACAAAACATTAGCTGGGCATGGTGGCACGTGCCTGTAATCCCAGCTACTCAGGAGGCTGAGGCAGGAGAATTGCCTGAA